CCCCGGGGGGTGGGGGGGAGGGGAGACACAAGAGTGTGCAGGGCAAGGAACCGAGGTCAGGGCTCAGAAACACCAGCAGGGGGGAGGGGTGGTTTCATCAAGGACACCCTGTCCTCAGAGGGCTGGGCAGGCTGGACTCTAGAGGGTTCTTTGGCAGTCGGACAGCTCCACCGTGGAGCCCGTGCAGGAACGCTGGGGCTGTGCAGGAAGACGTGCCTGGCCACACAAGGCCCCGGGGTTCCAGAATAAGGCGGCCCTTTGCAGCTCAGAATGAGCACAGGGCTGGTAGCCTCAAGCCCCACGTGGGTAGAAGTGCCCCAGGAGGCAGCCGCGACACGGGTAGCAAGGTCAAGCACGCCTGCCCGGCATCCCTCACATCAGCACAAGGGACACCAGGTGCTCTGATGGCCCGAGCCCAAGATTTGCCGTCTAAATGGCCACTGAAAAGACACCTCTCCTCCCTTGCCTTGGCTGCCGTCGTCCCCACCTGCGTCTCAGCCACGACCCCACGGCCGGTGGCGTGACTGGCGTCCACGGGTGCTGAGGCGTGGAAAACAACGTGCGTGCCATCCTTGGCTGTCGGCAACGGACAGTTCTCTCCGGGCGGGAAATACCACCCTGGGCCCGACCACGTGGCCAGCTCTGGCGTCGACGTGGTGCCCTGACGTGGGAACGTGGGTGGAGCCGGCACCCGCCCCGCACCAGGAAGGAGGCGGACAGGACGCGTGTACCCCAGGGCAGACCGCTCCGCAGCGGCCTCCCCGGCCTGCCCGCGGCCACACCTGCCCAGCCTGCCCCGGCGCAGAGGACGTGGAAACGCCACGAGCAGAGCCCTTGCCGGGTCTCCCTTGGCCGGGACAGAAAAGCCGGTTTTGGGGAGCTCAGCGACACAAGCGTCCGCAGGTGCAGCCAGACGTGGCCTGAGGGGCTGGGGGCCGGGTCTCCCCCCAGCTCCGTGCCCGCCCCTCTTCCCGGCTCTCAGGACCGCCCCTCCCCTCATCGGTCCCCAAACCCTCTAGGACTCCCAGGGGCTAAGGGCCCCTCAGCCGTGCCGCTGCCCTCGGCTGCATCCCAAACCCCTCCCACCCTGGTCGTGGTGACCAGGGGCCACAGCCTCGGCCCAAGGGTCCTGGTCCCCTCTGCAGCCTGTGACTCCCAGGGACGCGGGGGGCAGGGGTTTCTAGGTCATGGGCAGTACGGCCAAGTGACAGGTGACCGAAACATGCGTGCAGCGGGTCCTGAAAAGACACGACGTAAGCGCAAAGAAAAGCCGGGGAGCCGCGAGGGAAGTTTTAGACCTACCTGGGGCGGGCTCAGGCGGGTGGGTGCGGGGAGCCGAGGGCAGGGCGGCCGGGGAGGAGCTGCCAGAGCCGGTGCTGGACGCCACGCTGGAACCCAGGCTGGGGGCGAGTGGATGAGCCCCTGTGGACACCGGCAGGTGGTTCTGTGCAAAGACACACGAGGTGAGCAGGTGTGCACACGCAACGGCTGCTGTGAGGGCACAGTGACGGCGGACCCGCGGAGAACAGAAGGGCGCAGGGTCACGGACGGGACGGTTGTCCGACTTCTATCCCCAAAGCAAAACAGAAGTCCGACTCTTCCAAACGTTCTGGGGGGGCTGTAAAGGCCGAGTTGGTTGCAGTCAGCACGACAGCTGCAATCAAGATTGGCTGGCTGATCAGGGACTGAACACATCCATCTAGAAAGTCTGATCCAAGGAGCTTTTCTGCAGAAATGGTTGCCAACAGCTGATCTAGGACAGCAAAACACAATCCACCCAAAGACCTAACCAGAGGGGAGCCTGGGGGTGCTCAGTGGGTTAAGCGTCCAACTCTTGATTTCAGTTCAGGTCACGATCTCCATTCGTGGGATCCAGCCCCGTGTCAGGCTCCCCGAGCTGACAGCGTGGAGCCTGCTTGGGATTTTCTCTCCCTCTCTCTCTCTCTCTCTCTCTCTCTCTGCCCCTCCCAGGCTGGCTCGCTCTCTCTCAAAATAAGCAAACATTAAAAAAGAGTTTATTTAAAAAAAAAAAAAAAAAGATGTAAGTAGGGAGCCCACACGGCCTCCAAAAGCAAAACTGGCCCTATGACCTCAGGTTTTTACCTCTCGGTACTCAGGCAATAGCCTGGGCGCCGCACGTTATCCGAGTTGCGGAGAGCAGCCCAGAAGAGCCCAGAAAAGCCAGCCGGGTCTGGGCGCCACCTCACCGTCCCAAGCAAATGGCACAGAGCCGCAGGCCGGGGCTGCTCGACACATGGCAGCTGCGTCCGCAGCCCACCCGAGGTCGCTGTGACACCAGGGCCCAGAAGCCACACCAAAGGGAAGCGTGTGGCGTCTGGGTTTCACTTCAAAATGCACCTGAAGTTCACTTTGGGGGGGCGAGCTCCACCACCACAAGGGGGGAGGATTTCACTAGTGTGTCGGCTTAAGTGAAATTTTACCCACACATGAACATATGTTTTGCGCGGGGAGCGGCGGGGAGAGAGGAACACACACAGCAAAGCTCCTCTGAGTGTTTCCCGGCCGGCTAGCCTCGCTCACGAGGGGCCCTCGGTGACCGACCCCGCGACGGCCGGTCACTGCGCGTATGAGGCTGTCGTAAAACTAACATGAACTGCATCAGTCCGGACGCCAAAGTCCCCGGCGCTCCCGGGGCTCAGGCCCAGGGGCAGACTGTCTCCTCAGCACGGGGAGGGGTGCCTCCCGCCCGCCCCAGCAGCCCCGGGCGAGGCGGGAAGGGTGGCAGCAACAAGGACACTCCGAGACCCCTCACAGCCAAGCCCAAACGCCGAGCCCGAGGCGCCTGCTGTGACTTCACCCACCCCCAAAGTCACAGTGCAGGGACTGTGTCTCTCAAAGACGTCAGGGGACGCTTTATCCCGAAAACCGAGAATGACGCTCTCAAGGCTGGGGGGGCTGGGGCGTCCCCTGGCCGGGGCAGACTGGGGCCCACAGGCGAGGGAGGGGTCCCCAGAGGGCCGGCCTCCGGCCCCGTGGCCTTTCAAACGGAGGGTCCCAGGGAAACGCCAGGAGCCCCTCCGCTGGCCTTCCAGTCCTCCCACCGGGCACTCGAGGTCCCCGGAGCCTGGCTTTGGGTGGGACGGAGGGCGTCTCGGGGCGCAGGTGGGAGGGGACCTGTAGATGAGCCACGCGGGCTCCTCGGGCTGCCAGCACGTGAGGACGCGTCAGGCGGTGGCAGCACCGCGTCCCGAGGCCCCTGTGCGTTGGCTCCGTGGCCGCTAACGTTTCCTGCTTCGGATTTGCAACGAACGTCTTATCCACTTTACTCTCCAAAACGCTGCCAGATAACAGTTTACCCTCAACTCCCCTCTGCGGATCTCAAAGCTCCCGAGGCCACGAAGAACGTCGGGGTCACTCTGGAGAGGCCCGAGGGGGTGGCCTCAGGTGGGCGCCAAGCAAACCGGGGCAGAGAGGGACCGGGCGTGTCGCCCGCGTAGGAATGGAGGAGGAAGACGACAGGGGCCAGTGACAAGTGACGATGTGCTGGGCCTGGGGGGGCCGGGGCCCCCGCTGCCCTCCCGCACCGCACCCCAGGCCTCCCAGAGGCTCAGGCCCTCTTGTCTTACGGGGACGGGGATGGACGGCAGTGGTGGCCAGGACGAAAGCGTTGCTTAAAACGGGCAAGCGGGTCCGAAGAGCCTTCGGGAACTGCGCCACCGAACCGAGGTCGGGCTCAGGGAAGCCTCAGCTAAGGCCACGGCAGCCTCACCGGAGGGGACACGTGGAGGACACTCACGGCAGGAGCCTGTGATTACCTCAGGTGTGCACGTGTCCACGAGCCGTGATGCGGGAGCAGGGAGTCTCTACAGCAGCCCCCAGAGACACTGGCCCAGATGCAGCTTGGATGCGGTCGTGGGCCGCCCTGTGTCCCCGGAAGCTCATTCCGCGGGGTCCTGACCCCCAAAACACCAGAGCGTGACCTGACCCGGAGACGGGGTCTTTACCAGGGAAATCAAGTTCACATGAGGCCGTCCTAATCAATGACCGGGGTCCTTATGAAAAGGGGGAAATGTGGAGACAGACCCAGACCCGGGGCCAGGGGGCTGGGGGCGGGGGGGGTGCGAGCAGGACGAGACAGGGAGTCATCGGCTGCATACGGGCCCAGGACAGAGGCAGCTCCCGCATAGCCTCGGAGGTGCCGACCCCACTGGCCCCGACACGAGGACTCCCAGCTCCGGACGGTGAGTGGTTGGGGCTGCCCCGTCCGCGGGGCTTTGTTAGGGCAGCCCCGGGACACACACAGACCACCACGGGCGGCTGCAAAGGGCGCCCCGTACTCCCCGTGGGGAAAACGTCAGGAGGTTTTGGTTTTGTTGTGTCCAAAGTACAACACAAACACGTTTTGAACGTGGAGACGAAAGACGTGTGGAATAGGCCACCAGTTTAAGAATTAAGCGAAAACATAATTACGTCCCGAACGGACAAGCACAGGGCTCTGGGTCAAGAGGGAACGTGCGAGAGTCCCAGCGCACAGGGCGGCCCCGCTGCGGACAGCGGGAGCCCCCCGGGCGGTACCTGCTTGCTGTCCTGCTCAGCGGCCTTGTGGCTGCCCTCGGCAGGTGACTCTCTCCGCTTCGCCTACAACAGGAAAGCACCAGGGTTGGAAGAGAGCAACACGGTTTACAGACAGAGACACCTCCGCTTCACGCACCCGAGAGAAAACGCTGAGCCCGGGGATCTCAGAGAACAGAAAAGGCGTTCAAGTCACCACCGTCTGTCCGTTCTCCCAAGTCTGTCTCTTACACCTGCACGCTGACCTCTAACCTCCGGGCCGGTCCGTGTGAAGGAGGGGGTGAGCTCTGTGCCCCCTGCGACCAGAGGTCGTGAGACCCGAGCCCGGAGAGCCGGGCAAGTCTTGGGGAGACCTATCCCGAAGCAAAGGATTATTCTACCGACAGTGCTGAAAGCGGGGTGTCAGCTGGCCCTTGAGAAGGCACGCCCTCGCCTCTCCCGCACCGGGAAGAGGACGACCCTCAGCCACCAGACGCTCCCGTCTACGTCCACGTAACCCTGATCCGACATGGCTTTCCCCCACACATTTGCCGTCCCACAATTTACCCCCCCAGGAGCAGAAACTCCTTTTGTCCGGCCCCTTCTCCACGATCTACCGCTCTTTGTTAAAGGGTATGTGAGCCGTCAGGTCTGCTTAGACCCAAAGGGGTCTTTACTTCCTCACCACCAAATCTTCTGTATGGATAAGCAATAAGGCTTCTGTCCCGTTTATCTTCTATCAGTTTAATTTGCAGAGGCCCCGTACCGAACGTGAAAGGGTAGAGGGAAACATTTGTCCCTCTCCGACACACACAGAAATCTTGACTGACGAGCCACCTGCCAGGAACACCGGGCCCAATGATGGCTTTGCTCACAGAGCTCAGGGCCAGGGCTCCCCCAGGTCAAACATCAACACAAAGGCCACAGACCCAGATGTCCTTCGGATCGAAGGACAAAATCAGATTCTGATTTTTATGACTACTTTTACAGTAAGTTAACTTGTAGTGGTATTTCAGGTCCTTCTGGCCTTTCTTCCTTTAGTTTTTGGTTTCTGGATTTGCAGAAGGACCCAGAGTGACCACCCGGGGCAGAGGAAGAAAAGGTGTCCACGCAGGCCCTGCCCGGGGCCCCTTCCTTCTACGCAGTACTTGGCCTCGGGCTCGACCCGGAGGTCGTGCTGGTATTTCAGAGTTCCCTGTACCTCTGTTGTCCAGAGTGACCCCACCTGCAGGGTGGGGTGAGGGCCTCCGAAGTCACCGACCACAGCCCTGAACATACCTCCAGGCCAAGCACGCGTTTCCTGAAGCTGTTCTGTTTGCCTTTGCAACCCAGGGCTCCCTGTGGGGACCTCGCCCCTTCGTCCAGGCCCCTCTCCGGCCACCCCTGCCCCAGGCTCCCTGCCGCTGGGCCACACCCTCTGCCTGGGGTCGGCCCCTGAAGATGGCCCCGCCTCAGCAACCCCCCACCCCACCCTGTCACCTGTGCCTCTGACCGACTGGCTCGGAATCAGGATTCCCACCACTCTCTCCTCAGGTTTGGCCGATTTCTAGAACCGCTCCCAGGGCTCAGGGAAGCACTTACGTTTACCGGATTATTACATAATATAATAAACACTACAGACGTTCAGATAGAGACACGTCAGGTGAGGTCTGCGAGGGCCCCGAGTGCGGGCGCTACTGTCCCTGTGCAGCTGGGGACCTCCACCCGCCAACATGGAGATGTCGCCAGTGCGGACGCTGTCCACACCGCACACTTCAGCGATTTTCATGGGGCTCACCCCCTTAATTCCACCTGCAGCCCCTTCCTGCCCCGGATCATGTCGGGTGGTGCAGAAAGTCCCAAGCTTCTAACCATGGCTTGGCCTTTCCGGTGACCAGCCCGCATCCAGGAGCTATGAGGAGCCCACCCAGAGTCACCTCTGCAAAACAAAAGAGGGTTTTGGTGGTTTTTTTAATCTTGTTTTTTTTTTTTTAAGTTTATTTATTTTGAGAGAGAGCACGCAAGCAGGGAAGGGCAGAGAGAGAGAGGGAGAGGGAGAATCCTAAGCAGGCTCCACGATGTCGGCACAGAGCCCGACACGGCCCTTGAACCCACCAATCGTGAGATCGTGACCTGAGCCTCCCAGGCACCCCGAAACACAAGGTATTTTTATCCCCTTGGGAAGTTATAAGGGTTTCAGGAGCTCTGGGTCAGGAACTGGGATCAGAGAGAGATATACGTGTTTTCGGTTGTCTTGCGACGTGACCCCGTTGAGGAACACGGCATACCGCGTGCTCTCCACGCTGCTCTCGTCTCCACCCGCGGGGAACCCCCTGCAGCCTGGCACCCGCCACCCATCGTGTCCTAGTAGGTTGACTTACTCCCCATCCCTCTTTTTTAGGGAGGCCCCGTGCTGGGCGTGAGCCACGGGGCTTGAACTCACGACCCTGAGATCAAGACCAGAGCTGAGATCAAGAGTCAGATGGTTAAGTGACTGAGCCACCCAGGCGCCCTTAGCAAGTAGGGTTTTTAAACTGCAAAATAATTAAAAGAACATAAAAGACGCCCTCACTAGACCACGCCCGCAGGGGTGGGCACTGTTGTCGTGCCATCCAAGGCACAGGATCACCTACCGCACCTGGGCTGTTGCCTCCGAGGCACGACCCCCGCCCCCCGGGGCTCCATTCACCCTAGGCCCTCAGGGGGGGCAAGCCGGTGGCCCTGTGCCCACCACCTAAGCCCACGACCGGCATGGTCCCCTGGGAGCCACTAAGATGGGGGAGGGGGAAGGGGGGAGAGCTTCCTGCCACGCCCAGCGCCCGGCTATGCTCCTGGGGGTTCGGAGCTCTGCTCTGCTCGGTTCCTCCAGAGGACGCCAGCTGGGCTTGCAGAGGCACAAAGGCCCAGCGTGGGTGTGAAGGGGCAGCCCGGTCCTCCTTGTGGACGGGCCCGTGACAAGGCTGCAGGGTGAGGGGAGCCCATCTGCCGTCAGCACCGGGGCGAGGAGGGGTCACGCCAGACCCTGCAGGGCTGCAGCGGGAGAGCGGTCTGTCCGGTCGTCAGGCTCCATGGACTCGGGATCAGATCGAACCCCCGCGTGCCGGGGCGTGGGGGGACACTGGGCGCTGACCCACTGGGAACGCAGGATGGCCGTGTCGCCGCCGGGCACGGAGATGCCGGAGACGCGGAACAGACCGCGAGCTGGCAGATCACTGCCCAGCTCCTTGTATGTAAATTCAACCCAGGTTTTCCTCAACTTTCCTGTTTTCCTCTTTTCTAAAAAAAGCGCAAAGTGGGGGCAGGAGCGCCTGGGGGGCTCAGTAGGTTGAGCGCCTGACCCTTGATGTCGGCCCAGGTCACGATCTCGCGGTTTGTGGGTTCGAGCCCCGTGTCCGGCTCTGCGCTGACAGCAGGGAGCCCACTTGGGATGGTGTCTCCCTCCGTGCCCTTCCCTGCCCATGCGCACGCTCGCTCTTTCTCTCTCTCAATAAATAAGTTAATTAAACAAAAATATACCCAAATGAAAAGTTAAAAAAGCAAAAGCCCAAAGTGGGAAGAAAGGCGGGCGGGGGAAACGCCTGAGGCTCCAGTCTCCTCCCCGAGGGGCCGCTTTCTCAGCAGATCCGACACGCAGATGCAAACACCCTCCCGTCACCCTCTCGAAAGCTCAGAGCGAGAGCAGACGGGGAGCCTGCTACGACGCCAGGGTGAAGGGCAGGGCACGAGGCCTGAGGCCCCCGTGTCCTCCACCACACAGACATGAAGTCCACCCGGGTCAGGACCATCCTCTCCTCGAGGTGCCCCCCACACCTCTCAATGCCTGAAGCAGGCCTGCAGGGCCAGACTCAGGACCCAGAGCCCCGGCCGCCGTCGGGGGCCTGCCCCACCTGGACGTCCCCCTTGGCGCCACGGCCACCCACCTGCGAGGACACCCACCCGGACACAGGGCCCCTTCCCCACGCTCGCTGGAGACCACATTTCACGTGCTACTGACATGTCTGGGGGCAGCCGGCCCAGGCCAGAGCTTGGCTGGACTGTCCCAGGCTTCTAGAAGGAGGCGCCCCCCACCCCCTCAGGCAGACCGTGCAGCGGAGTCACCCAGAGACCACACCCATCCGTGTCCCCAGCCATTCACAAAACCACACGGCAGCCTCGGCACCCTCCCCAGGACGCCGTCCACTTACGTGCACGGGCTGGCCACTGCTGGCCGCGGAGCTGCGGGCGGGCGCGGGGCAGCCCCAGCCGTTGGCCGTTCCGAGGCTCTCTGTCAACAGAGGGAGGTGGCGCGCCATGAGCGACCGCTGGCTGCAAACAGAGCTGCGTGCAGGGCGACCTGGGGTCCAGGGGTCCCCAGACCGGGGAGGGGGGCCTGGGGAGGCCGCTCGCCCCGTGCGACAGGGGACAGTGGCCACAGCGCCACCGAAAGACGTGCGAGTCCAGCAGGGACTGGCCGCCCTCCCCAGGAGGGCCAGCCGGAGTTGGTGTCTGCCCCCAGGGAACCGCAGGGCCGGCCACAAGGTAGGGAGGTCTCTGGGCGGGGGGCGGCCTGAAGTGATCCTGAAAGGCATGCGGGGTGCTCCCGGCCCCCCTCCTGGTCCAGGCGCGCGGGCAGTCTGGCGTCACACACTTACTTTCCACATGTGCGAAGGCGCAGAAGGGGCCCCGGGGGCAGTAACCGGTTTGGCGCATGTCGTTGCACTTTGTAGACTTGTAGATCTGGGCGGCAAAGAGAAAATAAAGCAAATAAAATCTACCAGTAAAACAAAGGGGCTGGGTTGGGAACAGGTTTCCACGGGAAGCCCAGAGGACCCAGCTCTAAACCACAACGCGTCTCCTGAGAAGGTGGTGTGGATGTGACCCCTGCCCTGTATGCCGTGGCCCCAGAATCCCCCGCTCTCCGCAGAGCAGGCCTGACTGTCCTTGAAATAACACACAGGGGTGCGTGGATGGCCCAGTCGGTTGGGCTCAGGTCAGGATCTAAGGGTTTGCGAGATCCAGCCATGCATCGCTTCCAGCTCTGCGATAAAAGGACACAGCCTGCTCGGGATTCTCTCTCAAAATGAGTAAATAAACTCACCAAAAAAAAAAAAAAAAAGGAAATCTCCCACAAAGTCAATTTCACCACTTGGCATTTTCTGAAAGAGATGCTCAATTCAGTGCTCCCAGTATACAGCAGGCGCTCAACAAATGCCTGTGTCACGACCACATGCATGAGCTCCATGGTCAGCCCCGATTCCCTTCACTAGGGTCAAAGATACTCTCACGGCGCCAACAACACTCGGTTCTGGCCCTACAGCACACCAAGCGGGGCAGGCCCCAGGGCGCTCCTGCCAGACCCCAAATCCACACCCTCTGGAAGCCTTCCGCAGCCAGTGGCCTTCCTTCCCCCACAAAGGCCACGTACTCTCCTCAGTCTTCACTCACCCGCTAAGTGCCTGCGCTGAGATTTTAATGCCTACCAACAGAAGCAATTTCAGAGGGGCTCCAACTCGGGACCTATGACCTCAGGAGGCTGGCATTTGACGTGAATTTTAAAGCACAGAACCTCTGAAAAGAACAGAAGCCCCAGAAAGGAAAGAGGAGAGTAGATGCGGGGGCCCCTTCCAGGAGCCCAGGGCCTCCCTGGGCACGGCGCTGGGGAACGGTAAGGGTTCCGAGTACCCGAGGAGCCGCGGGGGTGAATGGGGACGGAGTGCCCTTGGGGCCACGGAGCCGCAGTGGAGGCGGCACCCTTTACCACATTTCTGAGTTTTAGAAACAGAATGAATGAGTCAGTAGCCAATGAGTCGGCAAAGGAAGCAGAAGACAAAAATCCCGAGTCGAGAGGGGCAATCGTAGGGCCTGAGACACAGGCAGGCGGCAGAGGCCAGGCTCGGAGTTCACGACCCAGCCCAGGCGGGCCACGCCCAGCGCCAATCAGGTGGCACCATGGGCAGCCACGGGCCAGAACAGGGCGCCTCCTGCTCCCGACCGGCCCGCGTGGCCCATCCCCCGCCGGGGCACCGACCCTTCCCTTATTCCTGCTCTCTGCCTCGACCGCTCCATCCCTGCCCCCTGCGGGGCCCTCGAGGCACCCCTCCTGCAAGCGAGCCGCACACCCCACCCTCCTGGACTGCCCCCCACCCGTCCTGGTCCCCACACTCTCACAACCCTGAAGAGGGCTGGTTTGCTGTGTTGTTTTTAGTGTTTATTTTTGAGAGAAAGACACAGCACAAGCAGGGGAGGGGCAGAGGGAGAAGCGGGGAGAGAGAGAATCCCAAGCAGGCTCCATGCTGTCAGCACAGAGCCCGATGCAGGGCTCAAACTCACGAAATCATGAGATCCAGACCTGAGCTGAAACCAAGAGTCAGATACTTAACCAACTGAGCCGCCCAAGCGTCCCTGCTGATCAGTAATCTTTGTTTTTTGATTTTTTTTAATGTTTATTATTATTTTTTTTTTTTAGCAAACTATTTTTTTTCAACATTTATTTTTGGGACAGAGAGAGACAGAGCATGAACGGGGGAGGGGCAGAGAGAGAGGGAGACACAGAATCGGAAACAGGCTCCAGGCTCTGAGCCATCAGCCCAGAGCCTGACGCGGGGCTCGAACTCACGGACCGCGAGATGGTGACCTGGCTGAAGTCGGACGCTTAACCGACTGCGCCACCCAGGTGCCCCATGTTTATTCATTTTTTGAGAGAGAGACACATAGCACCAGCAGGGGAGGGGCAGGGAGAGAGGGACACACAAAATCGGAAGCAGGCTCCAGGCTCCGAACTGTCAGCACAGAGCCCGACGCGGGGCTCGAACTCACCGAAGCATGAGATCATGACCTGAGCCCAAGTCGGAGGCTCAACCGACTGAGCCACCCAGGAGCCCCTTGCTGGTCTGTTCACCACAAACCCAAGCGTGCTCTGGTTAGCTCTGCGAACTTCAACCGTCTGTGCCCTGCCGGTGCCAAAGGAAGGTCCGGCCTTGACCGGCTCCTGGAGGGGGGGGTGTCCTGCCTGGTAAGTGTCTCTGTTTACCTGCTCTGAGGTCACCCCGAATAGTCACAACATGATTTCTGGTAGGGGCTCTGGGCCCAGTCGTGTGGGCTCGGCCTCTAGGGGGACTGGAGATGGAGGTCAGCACGTCTATGTGACCCCTAGTGAAAACCCCAGACACCCAGGCCCACACGCCTGTCCACAGACACGGTCCACGTGACTCCCTGCAGGATAGCCCTGGAAGCTCAGGCCCGGTGGGTCGGGGACCCAGCCCCAGGAGGGACCCCCCCACCCCCCCCCCTGCCCCTGGCTGACCTCAGCCCCTATCCTGTCACCAACGAATCACGGCTGTGGGCACGACAGCGCTGCTGGGATCTGCGAATCCTCCCGGCGAATCGCAGGACCAGAGGGTGCTCCCAGGGACCCGGAGTCAAAGGGGGGAGACCTCCCCCTACCCCGGGCCGTGCGCCGACACGGGTGCCTCGTACCTCCGGGTGAAACTGCTGCTCCGCGCGGGAATGGCAGTACTGACAGCTGTCCCCACTGTCACACCTCGCGGGCTCACCCCACTCGTCACCGTGCTTCACGCTGGGACACGGCGTGGACCTGGGGGACGGGGCGGGGGGGGCGTCAGTGTGCCCAGCCGCTATTGGCACGCGGTGGGCGCACACAACCCCTGGGAGCGGGCCTCAGAGTGAGGGCCGCCTGAAGCCAGACGGGGCTCGGCTGGCTCCGCGGCGGGTGCGGCTCAGAGGCACCCGGGTGGCGTGCCATGCGAGCGTCGGACAGGCAGCGGGCGCCCTCCCTCCTTCCCTCCCGAGCTGAGTCCCACACCGAGTCCCAAACAAGTGATCCCACAGCAGGAAAACCCAGCCCTGATGCTCATTTTTCACGTGCTGTCAGACAGCCTTATCAAAATCTCTTTGGACTCCCGGAAAAAACGAGCCGCCGTGGGGAGTAAGGTTTTATTATTTTTCAGCACATTTTCTGTCCCTTCCATCTACGTGAATTCATCTTATCCTCTCAGGCTGCGCTCTGGTGACTACCACTGGCAGGATGCGCAGGGGCGGCTCTCGGCCCCTGGGCCCTGAAACCGCGGAGACAGAGGGAAGGAAGCACGACCAGCTCTGACCCGCTCGCGGCCGCGTCTGGCCTTTTGTGCGCGCGCACGGGAGGCGGCAGAGCCCGGAGCGCGCGCACACGCGGCAGAGCGCTGGCTCGGGGGGGGGGGCCGGGGGGCAGGTCCACGCTGCCGCGCGCCGCAGGGGCTCACCTGTACTGGAACCTTCGCGGGCTCCGCCGCCGGTCCCTGCTGTTGTGGTAGTGCGGACACGCATAGCCCTGGCGACACAGACGCGGTGGCTTCGGACACGGCTCTGTCTTATAGCTGCCCAGCACGAAACTGGCATCTGAAAACACAGGGGTCCACATGGGAGCACGTGCACGTGTGCTCAGCGGGCCAAAGGACACCGCGTGTCCACCCCACCGCCACGATCGGGAGCGAGACGCTGACACCCGCCACAACCTGGACGAGCCTGCAGAACGTGATGCTCGGTGAGAGGCCAGGCCCGGAAGTCTCCCTGTCGCGTGACTCGAATACAGGAGCCGTGGGATGGGGCAGATCCCGGACGGGAAGGACACGGGTGCTGCCAGGGGTTGACGGCGGGGGCTCATGACAGGGTTCTAAACTAGCTCACCTGACAGCCAAACAACCCCTGAAACGCACACTTTAAAACGGTGCATTTTAACCCTGATATCAACAGTGGATTTGGGGTGATAAGGACCTGTGATGTCGGCTGGTGGGCAGGGACAAATGTCCCGCTGTGGTGGGGACAGTGCACACACGGAGTCACAGGGCATATGAGAGTCCCATCTTTTCCTATCAGCGGAATCCCAAATGGCTCTAAAAATAGATTTTCAATTTTATTTTTAAAAACTGTTTAATGTTTATTTTTGAGAGAGAAACAGAGCATGAGCAGGGAAGGGGCAGAGAGAGGGGGAGACACAGAATCCCAAGCAGGCCCCAGCCTCTGAGCTGTCAGCACAGAGCCTGACACGGGGCTCGAACCCACGAACCGTGAGATCATGACCCGAGCTGAAGTCAGACGCGTCAGTGACTGAGCCCAGGTGCCGGTGCCCCTTGTATATCGTTTAAGTAGTTAATTTCACGTTTTCTGAATTTCATCTGAGAGCAAAAACAAACAAAAAACCACCTGGGGTCGTTTGAAAGCAAGAACTGATGAGAGAAAATCCTAAAAATCATACCCACTGGCAGCCTGGTTCATGATCAACACGGCACCTGCAGACGCTACTGTTCCCGCTGCCGTTCCCAGCAGGGCTGAGCTTCATGCTAAGGGATGGGACAGTGGCAGGGGGAGGGGAGGGGCGGGCCCCAGCACCCAAGACAACGCGACCCGACCCTCAGGAAATGTCTGCAGGTCGAAGTTTAACGTCACCGCATTGTCCAGACACACCAAATACAGTTTCTAACTCATTAAATGACACACGGAGGGACACAGAAAGAACAAAAAGGGTCTGAGAAACTAAAAAGCCCATTTTAAGAAAACAAACGAGGGATGCCTGGGTGGCTCAGTCAGTTAAGCAGCCAACTCTTGGTTTCAGCTCGGGTCACGATCTCGAGGTTCGGGAGTTCAAGCCCCACATGGGGCTCCGTGTTGACAGTGCACAGCCCGCTTGGGATTCTTGTTTTCCCTTTCTCTGCCCCTCCCCTGTTCTCTCTCGCTCAAAATAAATCAAGTTTATATTAAAAAAGGAAAATAGAACCTAGAACACTTATACACAAGTACGGAGCGAGTGCCTCGTACAGATACAGTCCGACACAACCGAGAGATGATGACGTGAGGCAAACTCGGATGCGTGACCGACTGAGCCACCCAGGCGCCCCCAACCACGGGACATTCTGAAAACGGCAAAACCACGGCAACCAACAGGAGCGTAAAGGATCAGTGGTGGCCAGGGGCCAGGCCGAGAGCAGACCTTGACACGGCTTTGGCCAAGCCCAGAGCGTGAGCCCTAATGCAAACTGTGGACGTTAGTGAACGTGTCCGTGTCGGTTCCTTGCCTGTAACAAAAGCGTCACGTCGGGGCAAGGTGTTCACGAGGGGAAGGTGGGAGGGGGTACACAGGACCCTGTACCACCCGCGACACCTCTGGACACCTAAAAAGCAACAAATGAAATCTGCTAGTTAAAAGCCGAACCGCCACACAGAGATGGAAAAAGAAGGCGTGGAAACAACAGTCTGGAGCAGCGCATCTGACCGCGAGGGTTGGCGCCACAGGCTCCGTCTGAAACGCTCAGTAACCGAAGCCAGAGCGCCTAACTGGACCTTCCTGACACGGACCCAGGTGCAGGAGCTGAGGGCCGCCCCCAGGGCGAAGGCACAGGCCTCACCGCCGCCTCCCTGCTCTCCCTCCTCAAGCCCAGCCTGGCTGGCGGCGTGCCCCCGCCACGAACCGGAGCTCACACAGGCGGAAGCGGGCATCCCCGGACAGGGAGACGACAGGCTGGAATGCGGGAGACAGGAGGTTCTCGCGGGCTTTTTCCGGAAAGACAGAGACCCCGGGCAAAGCACGTGTCCTCAGGTGCTGGCAGCCGGAAGCTGCGGGCACACAGCTCCCGCTGAGGCGGCCCTTCCCCAAGCAGCGACGCCACCACAGGGGGACGAGCGCACAGCACCAGTGGGTGCCCCGAAACACAGAGGGGACCCTGGGGCATTCTTCACGCGGCCCAGCCAAGAGGCCAGCCGGCAGATGCCATCGTGGGGTGGGCGCCGGGCGCTTGGTCTCAAGGAGGGGTTGGCGGTGGGGGTGGGGGTGGATAGTAGAGATGGGAGGAGAACCTGCATCAGCCTCGCATGACCTCTGCCGACTGATCCCGTACCCCGGGCCCTAGCGTGGACTTCCCGAGAGCAGGCAAAGACATGTGCAAGGAGAAGATTTGTTGCTCAGTAACGACGGCGTGAAAGCACTGTTTACACAGGTGCTGTCAGCCGAGCAAGTCCAAGGAGCCCCATCAAGACTTAGAGGACTTTTCTTAAAACCGCACCGCCCTTATCAGCTACCCAGAACAGACAAACACACAGAGAGAAGGCAAACTAGTGAGTGCCGGGGCAGGGGGGTGCTGCTTAACAGGGACCGGGTCCCGTGCACGTCACAGAAACGTTCCAAATCAGTGCTGATGCTTGCACAACACCGTGAGTGTACCAAACGACACAAACTGTTCACTCGAAAACAGCTGAAACAGTAAATGAACTACGTTACGGGTACTTACAATAACACCCCCCCAAATTTCACCGCCCACAGCCATCACTTGTGAAGCCTGCGAGGAGCGCGGGTCCCGCAGCTCCGAGGCACGCATCCAGGAGCTGCAGGGACTGAGCCGAGGGCCCCGGGAGACCCACAGGGCAGGGCCAAGGCGGAAGCACGGACGTCCCAAGAGCAGGTGTGCGGTGAACATCAACCCAGCTCTGGGACGGGGCGCCCGGAAGGAGCCGTGCCTGCCACATACTCCCCTCCCCAGGAGGCAGCCGCTGGCTGACCTCGGCAAGAAGACGCCAGGGTAAACATCCAGAGCAACCGTGGGGCCTGGACGCCGGGGCTCAGATCCCACTCACCCACCACTACCTGAGGCATTGGGGGTGATATACTCCGCTGGATACTCAGTTTCCCCATGTGGTCTACAAACGAAGGTGGCGAGGTCCACCATGTGGTCACTTTACAGATGGAGAGGACCTCCCCCCGCCCCCCCCTCCATGGTGGCCTCAGGGTTACCTTGCCACCGGGGGTCCTCGCCCAGGATCTTCTCGATCATGGCCTGGCTGGCCAAGGCCCCGGGCTGCAAATCAGGGACGCCGTCCCCAGCGCAAAGCTGGCCGCTTTGCAAGGATTCCTGGGCCTGCAGCTCCCTGCGAGCAAATGTCACACTGGTTACAGCGCTGCCTCGCGTCTATCCCAAGACCTCCCGCAAGGTGACGGAATCATTCGGTGCTGTCGCTCTGCGGAGCAACCTAGAAGGTTCGGGACGGGCGGCCCTCGGGCCTCAGGCACAGCCCTGTCCTGGGACGAATCCAACACCTTCAGAGCCGAGACGCGTTTAGTGAGGACTCGTCTGTCCCCCCCCCGGGGGGTCCCACAGGTGCACGAGCTCAGCCTCGTGAACTCCCACGGGCACACGGGGCAGCGGAAAGGAAACCTTCTCATCAGAGTCAAAGCCAGAGAGAGAGCGCTCAGGCCAGCATCCCAGAGAGGTGAGCTGGCCGGCCGCCCCGCGCGGACGCCCCACACACCTGATGTCACACACGGGCGGCCGCAGGTCCAGCGGGCCGTGCGCAAAGGCACAGTGCAGCCCGTTCTTGACGCAGTGGCCTCGGGCGTCCGTCTCGTGGATGCACGTCCCGGTCTTGTAGTAGCGCAGGTGGTACTTGCGCTCCGTGTCCCCGGTCGTCCGGTGCAGGTACGGGCACCTGGGAAGCAGAGGGGCAGACACAGGCCATCTGAGGCCTCGGGGACACCAGCGCGGACCCGCCCCACTCCTCGTCGGCACCTGGCCAACACCCTGCTCTCGCGGTCTCCCTGCGCACACTTATCTGTTCCGATCGCAGGCCTGAGGTCCTGGGCGGAGCACCTGTCCCCTGGACCCATCCCCCAGACGCTCAGATGCCCCACAGATCCCGCAACTACATCTGGTGGAAAAACACAGAACCAAATTTCCCTGGAACTCATCCTGCATCATTTTCTGATTACGGAAAAATGAAGTCCGTGCCCGGGATGCAGCAGCACCCCTCATTTTTCCCGACGAGCATTATCAGAGGAGGACTTGTGCTCACTCCCGTCCATCCAGGTGCTTCAGGGGACCCCTCGAGGGAAGGAGCCTGGGGAGAAACCCGGACGCGGCTGGAGGAGGAGGCTGGTGGGAGCCGGGCAGGAGAGCGGGGGATGGGGGGGGGCGGGCGGTACCACGTGCCCCAGATGGAGGGGGGCGGGCCGTGCCACTTGCAGGTGCCAAGCCACACACTCCCAGGGAGAGTCCCCCTGGGGTCCCCAGGCAGCAGGGGGCTGGCTCCACACGTGAGGCTGGGCACTGAGCCCACATGGAGGTCAGCCCCTCTAGACGAGAGGCACAGAAGGGGGGAGGAATACTGAAAAGAGCCTGAGCTGGGGACACCTGGGTGGCTCAGTCTTAAGCGTCTGACACTTGGCTTCAGCTCAGGTCACAATCTCACCGTTCCTGAGTTCAAGCCCCACCTCGGACTCTGGTGTCAGTGGAGAGTCTGCTTCAGATCCTCTGTCTCCCTCTCTCTCTCAAAAATAAACGTTTAAAAAAAAAAAAAGACTAGTTTTAAAATAAACTTGAAAAAAAAAACGCACAGAGCCTGAGCCAGCAACTCGCCGTGAGCTGCCTGAGGGGTGAGGCAGGGGCCTGGTGTCCCCCTCCAGAGGGGACGGTTGAGGAGGACCGTGTCAGGGCCCAGTCCCACCTCAGTGCCCAGCAAACCATGGACCCGGCTGCTGGGAGCACCGGCGGGATGGCTCCCCACACACGAAGCAGGGACAAAACCCGGAAGTAAGGCACTGGGGGGCCACTCACTCTCAACCCCTCTCTCGGCCTTCAGACAGCGCACCCCAGAGCTCCCTGAGCACCTGGGGTGTGCAGGGCATGAGAGGAGAGCGCGCTGTGGCCGCGAGGCCGGGTCCCTGGGAACCAACGAAGCAAAAGCCAAAGGAGAAGCCAGCTCGGGGTCCGGCACTTCCGTTGCCAGATGCGCGCCCCAGAAACGCTGCAAGACCCCGCTGTCGTCCGGGGGAGAGTTCTCTGCACCCGGGTCACAGCACGTGACCCACAAGCGCTGAAAGCTGCAAACGACCCCAGTGCCCATTGGATGACGCGTAGGGGAGCAACATGGAGCCCGTGCAGACCAGGACGCTCCTCGGCCTCGAAGGGAACAGAACTCGGACACGTTGGACAGCGCGGATAAACCGTGAGGACGCTGTGCTCAGCAAGAGAAGCCACAGGCAAAGCCCACGTGCTGTGTGATTCCACTCTACGAGGTCCCACGACCCAGAGTCACGTCCCCGGGAGGTGGGGAGTGGATGCGAGGGGCGTCAGTGCTGAGCGGGGACAGAGTTTCAGGTTGGGACGAAGAAAAGGACTGGGGAACAGGCAGCGGGGACGGTTACATACGACACTATGGGAGTCGTCTGTGTCGCTAAACCGCGCACTGAAAATGGTTACATCCGTTTTCCTACGTTACAAATGCTACGTTACAAATGTTCTATCGTAGTCGTAAACAGAGCCCGCTGGAGACTGAGAGATGTTACGTATTTGTACAGACAAACGTGCGTCACGTCTGGCCCTCTGCGGGATTTTCACAGGCGGACACGGCGACGTCACAGCACGCGTGCCGGGAGGACAGAGCGTGGCCAGCACCCCGGGGCCCCTCAGACAGCCCCGCAGGGAGGACACGCACTCCCTCGGCGACGGCAGAAACTGGCAACAGGGCAGATGTGCCACAGGGCACGAAGACCCCGACGAAGCCTTCCACGGAACGCCACCCGTCGCAGACAATCCCCGCACACCCGAGACACGGGCGAGGTGGCAAACAGACAAGACGACCTGGTGGCACTTTCTGAAAACAAGCATGGCCACGCCACTAGACACACACCTGGAAAAGGAGACAGGACGCACGGCCCACGAGCCAGAGCGAGGACGGCGGGCTGAGCGGCTACAGCGAGGACTGGGCACCCGCCCCGCGCCCCTCTCTATGCAGCCGTGTCCCCCGCCGGCCTGCACGCACATCGCCCCGGCCCGGGATGGGTCTCTGGGTACCCGGGGCGTGGAAGCTGTCACGGGGAGCCCGTGACTAGAGATGAAGGCCGCTCAGCGACAACACGGCCCCAGGGAGGGGGGCGCTGGGCCCGCCTGACTGCCCCGTGTCACATCGCAGCCCTCGCTCATTCCCTAGCGGCCCCTCAGCTCGGCTAAGCATCGTCTCCTCTCTGGTGCCATCGCCAAGGCAACCAGGGTGCGGCTGAGGCCCCTGCCCGGCCCTGAGCAGCCTTGACTATTTCACTCGGGGCAGGACCCCGAGATACTGGAGGGCTCTTAACGACGCACAGTGGCTCCGCGTGCAGAAGGTCTAGGCGGTCAGGACTTCAGAGACAACATAGTGGCAAAGCCAGAAAACCCTCCTTCGGGCGGGAAAGACTCAGGGCTCCGCCCAACACCCCAGGCAGATTCTTCCCGCAGGAGTCCACTAATCCACCCACCTCTCCCCCTGGGCCACTGCCAGCCCACCGCACCCGTGATGTGCCCCACGGTGACCGGATTCAGGTGGGGGCCTTGGTTCTCAAGCTACCTGCCACAGTTAGGGACCCAAACCGTGTAATTAAAACAGGGCTCCAGGCGCACCTGGGTGTCTCATAGGTTGAGTGTTCAACTCTTGATCTAGGCTCAGGTCATGATCCCAGGGTCGTGGGCTCGAGCCCCGTGTCAGGCTCCGCACCGAGTGTGGAGCCTGCCTGGTATTCTCCCTCTCTCTCTGCCCCTCTCCCCTGCTCATGTGCACACATGTGCGCACTCTGGCTCGCTCTAAAAGAAAATCCAGCAGATCTCCATCGATGCCATGATGGAACAGCACAAGCCGGACGAGGGCACAGTCACGATGCTCTGGAACCCACGCGCCAGGATGCAGGGAGGACGAGACCAGGGGTTCACGGCCGCCCCTCCGTGTCCAGCAGGCCGTCCCCCTCCCCCTGGCAGCCCTTGCCTGAAACAAAAATAGAACCACCAAGGCCAGTCTGCAGTGGGTGACAGAGGTGGCCCACGCAGCTCACATCCACCGTGCGTTAGCACCAGCCAGGAGCACACTGGACCAGGCGTCAGAACCCCTGGAGGGCTTGCCAACCCCAGAAGGTGTGGTCCCCGAGTCGAGTCCAGGTAGGTTCCTCGGGTCCCAACTGCTGGTCCGGGGGCTGCGACAGGGGGTACCGCTGGGCGTTCGGGGACACTCAAGTACAACCTGACTCCCTGCCAGTGCCCAAGGCGCTCAAACAGGGGTGGGGAGACAGAGGTGCAAACCAGAACAAGTCGAGCAACGCCACGCAGTCACGGAATGTGGGGAACAGCAAATGTGGACAAAGACGTTGGGCTGCAGACAAAAGGGAGCAGGAGGGGCTTCTGGGGAAACCTCGAGGATCAGCTCACACCCGCCCCCTCCTCTCGGACACCAGGGATGGGGGGCTGACAGCCAACCCCGTGTTGGCCACGCCCATCCGCTCAGCCCCGCACCCCCTGGTTTCCAAGGGCGGCCCGGACTCCCGAGCCAGGGAAGCGGCCCCTCATCAGTGCCTAGCGTGGGCCATCAGCACCGACAACAGGTCCACACCTTCCTCTGCGCCCCCACAGCTGCCACCCTCCCTCGAAGACAAAAGCCTCCACTGGCCGTCTCTCCACTGGCCTCCGAGGGGGCCTCCCTCCCGGTCACCTCCTGCAACTTCACTCACTCGGCTGGCTAACATGTAACCGAAAAGCGCGTGTCCTGCAGACTGTCAGCAACTCCCCGGCTCCGGACTATTAGGCTGTGACGTTCCGGGCCTGCCCTGGCTCTCACCCCACCCTACAAGCCCAAGCAGAGTTCCCTTGTAAGGTCAGTTTGGAGCAAGTCCACAGCTACGCGGGGGTGAAGTTCACCCAGGGCTCAGGGCCCCAGACACTTGGGGTCTTACAACTAAACAGGCGAGCGTCTTTCCCTAGAAAGGGCAGGCTGAAGGCAGTGTGGTGCGGCAGGCATGCCACACCTCGGACACTTAGGACGTCGCTCTGAGCCAACAAGCTCCCACAAGCACGCTCGGATTCATGAGCGGGAAGCCCCTGGCCCACCTGACCCCGGGCCTGTGTCCCAGATACCCCAAGTGCAGTGAGGTGGGGGGTGGGGGGAGGCTTGTGGGAGAAGAGCCAGGCCAGCCAGGGGAGCCCTGAAAGAATAAGGCCGCAGTAATGGGACGGGCTCACTTCCTAGTAAGCAAGAGAACCTACAACTGGGGGTCTGGAGGGTTGACTCCCCAGGAGCATCCTATGTACCGCAGGAGGAGGGTTAACCGAGGAAAGAGAGTGGTTACTTTACACACGAGACAGTTGGGGGCTGCTTGATTTCCCCCAATGAAGATGTCCCCCGAGGGCCGCAGAGGCCGCTGGGAGGGCGCCTAACCATCCCCAGGAGCCCCGCACCTGCTCGCCTCAACAGGAGGCGCCAATCACACCTGGATTCCGGGTGCGAACACCCAGGTCAGCCCTGACCGCGGAGGGCTTGGCGTGGGGAGCAGGGCCAGCTGGGGGCCTGGGCTGTCCACACCCGATGCCGCTCAGCAGCTTTCAGGATGAGGGTGGGCCAGCGAACACCTCCGACAGGAGTCGCTCTCCTTGAAGCCCAGCCTAAGAAATACCTGAGATGCACCCTCACAAGTGGGAACACAGACTCGATGGAGCTGGGCCAGACCTCAGGCTCGGAAGCGGCTTTCTGCGCCGCCGACTCTCTCGACTCTTACTCGAGGATTGTCAAACGCGCACACCGCTCAGCTGACCCTGGCGCTCCAGCGCGGGCGGGCTTGTAGCCGCCGGGGCGGGGCGAGGCAGGAACACGTGACCGCACGACCAATCACAGCCGGCCCCGGGGAAGGGGCGTGTCCGCCAGAGCAGAGGGCCCTGAGAGGGCGAGCAGTGGACGCGGGGGCAGCGGGACCTCCCTGGCTAATGGGGGGGCCCGCCCGCGGAGACGAGGGGGTGACAGCAGAGGTGCCAATCCCCCTGGAGTCCCCATCCGGTCCTGCCACACAGCTCGGGCCTCGAGCTGCTGCCAGCCAGCTCCAAGAACAGTCCTGGATGCTTAGGTCACCCGACAAGGGCTTAAGGGTCTTTGCTCTTTGATAGGATCCATGTTCTGAAATAACGGGTTGGGTGGGGGGGCGCTTGGGAGGCTCAGCCGGTTAAGCCTCTGACTTCAGCTCTGGTCACCATCTCACCGTTTGTGGTTTCCAACTTCATGTCTGACTCTGTGCAGACAGCGTGGAGCCTGCTTGGGATTCTTTCTTTCTTTCTTTTTTGTTTTGTTTTGTTTTGTTTTCTCTCCCCCCGCCCCTCTGCCCCTCCCCCCCCCCTCAAAGATAAACATTAAAAAAAATTAACAGGTTGGTAGTACACATACCCAAAACAGTTTTCAAGAACCCATAAACTGAAATAAAAGAAAGGTTCTGTCC